ATTTCGTCTTTTTAAGCTTCATTTCTGCTGTTTCAAGTTCATCGTCAACCAAATTCCCCCTTAAAAGATGCATTGTCAAATTTCTCTTCAAAAAGTACTGTAGCAATCTTTTTGGGAAATAACTTACATTTAATTACTGGAAAAGCTAATAAGAAATTTTTGGAAAGCTTGCTATGTCAGTTTCTTCTCAGTTTTAGCTTTGGCTTCGGTGCAAGAGAGACTTACAAAGAAGACTTTGTGATCCGTTATGACCAAACTCATTTTTCACCCACTTAGAAATTACAGTGGATCAATAGTTACACCAGCTTTGGAACATCAAGAATCATCTTGAGCTTTTTTTGGCAATTTATTAATCATTTTTGAAGTTACATTTCAAATTTATTTTAATTTTCAAGTTATTATGTCCTGTGCTGCAGAAAAACTGGTCAACTATGATCAACTAATTAACCAAATTGCAGTTTAATAGCGTCACTGTTCTTCGCTGTTTGATTAACTTGTGAAAGAACTAGTTTTAGCCAATTACGTAACTTGCTTACTTCAATCGGCTTCAACACCCTGTTTTTTTTTTCATGGATAACGGTTAAATCCGAACCCCAACGACGTCAGGCTATTCATTCTAACTATAGGAAGTTGCGTGAAACGTAATTACTAATCACAACTATAGCCGACTGTCCACTCATGCAAAACGCGCCTAATTGCGGAGTGAAACCGGGTTCGAAGGCGCCAGGGGGTGGATCCCTTGTCGAAGCACACCCTCAGTAGCATTTACGTCGTCTTCCTTCTTGGGGCGTAAAGGCTGCGCAACGTTCGTAAGTGATTTGATTGCCATCATTCCGCCTCTGTTCGGCTCGTGCGTTGGCCTTTCTCCTCTCGATTCGTGGGACGTTCCTTCGTCCATTTATTTGTTGGCGCAGCGGCCTCCTTTACCAGGTCGCCCTCGCCCAAATATCCCATTTGCTAGTTTTGGGTAATGTAACCTCTTTAAATGATGCTGTCCATTCGCTATTTGGTAGTCGAATAGCATTCCCTAGATGTTTTGTAAACAATCGAATGAGAACTGGTATCAGAGGCTGGCGGCTAGTTGGAAGCAGCTAGTTGCTTTGTAACGGTAGATTCGCTCCGCTGCATTGTACCAGCCGGTCATTCTTCTTCAAGCGTGTCTCTGTCATGAACCTTCGACTTCTAGGATGCCTGTTTCAATTTCGTCATAGTTTTTGCTTCTCTTTCTGTGCAAGACCTTGATTTTCTAACATTTATCAAACTGAACTTAGTGCAGGCAATCACTAACGCTTGTCATTTTGCTCTGATTTATCCTTCTTCATTTTTCGTTTGTGGACAAAACTTTCTAGATCTTATTTCTCAGAAGTAATCCTCTGCATCAAACCAAAGCTTTTTAGAAATTTGAAAAGCTGCATTTTTCAATGTATACCGTCACTGAGCAAGTGTTATTGCTAAATGTACAAAAAAATTACTGAAAACATCGATTTTCACAAAAAGCCCCTAATAAACAACATATTTGAAGGAGAAAATATGAGTTACTTTCTTTTAGTGAGTCCTTCTAGGAAGTTGCGATTTTGTGATTGGCTGAAACAACAATAAATCGCACCGATTTCCTTAGATTTTGCGAAATAAATTTTTATATGCTGTTAAAAAGTCATTTAGCAATTATAGAAAATTCTCACAGGAGATGGATGTCAAAAAAAACTTTATTCTCGCGGAAAACCCTTAGAATCGAAGTCTATTTTGCAATGATGTTACTTTATTGATAATCATTAGAGAGACTTATACTATGTCTACTGGCGATTATATAATGTTTGAGATAGCTTGGACTTAGTTCAAGGCTACGATAAACCGTAATCATTCCATGCTCTGACTGTACTGTAGCACTTCTACAGTTTTCGCTTTTTGTCTTGCTTTACCCTAAAGTCTCTTCAACCATTGCTTTCGTTTGGAAGGCCGTTATTAAAAGCAGTCCATCATCTGCATTGAATATTTTTTACTTCCTGTCCGTTTCATTCTAGACACAATTATGCTAGATCTGATTGTCCAGCTTGGTTCAGGACAAGGTCGTTTTTATAGTGTTAACCTTAGGGGTTTTCTAAGAATTGCTTTGACCTTCCTTTTTTTTGCGATAAGTAGAACTTCTACAGAAAAAATCTCCATACGCGCTGCCTTTTAATAATGACAGCGACTGGTTGAAAACGATTTTTTTTTCTGCTTAGTTCTGAGATACGAGCTACGTATGTGGGACATTGTTTGCATTTGCTCTTCTCGTCCTCGTTCCTAACATTGATATCCGCTGCAAAGCATCTCTGAGTATCCGCAGTACACCAAATTCTTCTTTGTTCATAAGTTCTACAACATTTTATCACTAGTCCCTTCTCTGCCAAAACGTTTTCACCGTTTCCCAGCATCTTTACAGTAATAAATGCATTAGCGCATTTGGGGTTTCTTAGCAACAAATGCGTTTAAAACGCTTTCTACCCCTTGTCATCAACGATCCCATTTGTAGCCTTTTTATTTACGACCCAAGCGAAACGCGTTTTGGTTCATATTTTCCACTTCGTATGTTTGGCAAAGGAGGTGTGTCCACGGCCCGACTCAAATACTCCTCAGCCTTAATCATTACATTGATCGAGACAGTTTGGAAGGGTAAACTATCTTGTGCTACCTCATCACCTATTTCAAAGAGCTCATTATCTTTCTAATTGGAAAGGCTATCATTATCAATAGTTGTCTCTCAGGAAAACCACACTTCTTTAAGTTTGTGTCGTGAAAGTCTTCACATTTGAAGGTGTTTTAATTAGATGGGAGAAATTTTTCTTTATCCTCTTTGTTCTTTTTAAGACTTTAGCCATGTAACTTTCAAACTTCTTCTTTTTCTTAATAAGAAACATTCTGTGCACTGTA